AATGACTTGGTAAAATGGACACTTCTGCCACACTGTGCTATAATTTCTTGTCAGCAGTCCATTTAACCGCTGACCCTCTCCGACCTTCACTTTCTCCTCCTCCTAGCTGCTGCGACCCCTGAACACACTGGACGATCTTTGTCGACTAATGCAGTCCTACGTCAACGTGCGCCCAAGCGCCCAAGGCCACCCGTCAGGTGTCAGCGTGCTGTGTGTGTCCTCTGAGCTGTGTAACCGCCTGGGAGCCTGCCACATCACCATGTGTGGTACAGGCATGCAAAGGTCAGCCAGGCACCACACCAACACTATTATACTGCTCATGTAGTAACACTAGACTGTCAGCTGGAATAAAGATTAACACAGTGCAGGGTGGATGACATTCACCACTGAACATCACTGTTTTGAATTAATCTCTACTCCAAGGTGTCCAGCAGGTGAACATATGGTCAACCTCATTAGTGTGTGTTACAAAGATACACACAGTGCTGACCTCTTACCTTTTTGTCCTTTGCAGATGTACCCTAAATGTGACACTGGAGCAGGCAATGATCTTAGCCAGGAACCATGGTCTCATGCCACGCTGCATCATGCAGACCATGGATATCATGCGCAAACAGGTAAAGAGCTCAGAGACAGCTGATCCCAGACAGAGTCCAGTAGCGATCCCTCAGGAGTTTGTAGCACTGCCTAACTAAAGTGTAGTTTCTCTGCACTAATATTTTGTTCACTAGAAAGTTGTTGAAGATAGTTGAAATCAGTATTACAGTATGAAATGAATACTTTACCTCTAAAACAGACATTTGTATATCAATACTCTGTGTGTAAATTCATTAAGAAATGTTGTTTTTCTTGCATGCCTCCACACTGAATCTAAAAAGGCGAACATTCCTCATAAATCGAAGTAAACAACGTCTGTGTTTAACAACAGCAAAACATCAGTTTACAAACTGTCACACAACTCCTGTAGTACAATCCAAGTCTCATTTATCCAGTCAAGTGCTCACCATTCCCAAACACAAGCATTTTTGGTAAAACATTTAAATATAAAACACTTCTGCCTATGAGCCTACCCTGAGCGTGCCTGAGCCCACGCATGTGTACAAGTTTGGCTTGAGCAGAGTTCAAACACATGTGCCAGTTCAGGCACGCTACTTGGCTGTGCATGAGACTGTTTGTACTGATGTGTTTTAAATCTAAATGATTTAGCTGATCATACAACTGGATAAATGAGACTTGGATTATACTGTTGTGTGAGAGTTTGTAAACTGATGTTTTGATATAGTTTTGCTGTGAAACCTTGTTTACCTCAATTCATGAATAATGTTTGCCTTTTTCTGGGTTCTAAGTTCACCATGGAGGCATGAGAAAAATAAAGTTTTCTTTACAAATTCAAGGTAACACGAGATGAGTAATTGATTACAAAAGGTAATTTTGCAGATGAGTTATTCTATGATAGTTACATTTTTCTATATCATGATAAAGAAAATGTATGCAAAAATCACATGATATTTTAATGTCAAATTTGAGTCCATATACATTGTGATCATCCATTTCTCTCACCTACTCTTCACCTCAACCACAAAATCTTTCGGATGCCTTTGGCAAAATCATATAAACAATACATGAACACACAGTAAATTCCTCAATTGTTCTTCTAAACACTGTAGGTTTTTGTTTGCTTAGCTATTCAGGATAATTGAGCTAACTGCAGTATGGTCACTGTAGAGCTTATAGGATGTTTTCTCTATTATCAGGGGGCAAGAGTGGAGCTCTCTGCTAAAAATCTCAAGGTAATGGACCAGATGCCTCCATCATTCCCAAGGTACTGTAAGAAAAACACTTTCAGACACCTCTTGATAATGATACCATTTATGCTCTTAGACAAGGCGGATTCTCCTCATTTTATTTATTTTTTTCAACAGGCTCTTCAAGCTGTGTTTGCCACCCTCAGATGGGGAACTCTAAGGAAAGCGTCACTTCAGAGAACTCTTCAGAGAAAGGGTGAATGTGAAACAGGAAGATCCGATGAGAGATGACAACAACGAAAGAGTGCGAGTCTCACCGCTTTCTTTCCAAGAGACTCTCCCGATGGAAAGACCCCTGCCCCTCCCACTGCCCCAGTTACACAGGGATCATTCCACCATGGATACCACTAGACTCTTCAGTGCAAAGTGCAGGCTGAAGACTGTACAAATGACTAATGACAGTTACCAGGGAGCACCTACAGTCAAACTGATGCAGCCTGAAGCTCAAGACTAGTCATGTACTGTCATCCTGGGAAGCCACCCAGATAGAAGTATTACTGCTTTGGCTGTCTGTCTACACGAAGCTGACATGAATGACTTAACAACTGGTGCAAAATGTTCACAACATAAGGGAGATGCCAGTTTGAGGCCTCATACAGAAACACATCCACAGTGATTATGCTCCTAACTGAGCTCCTTTTATTAACTGGATTAACCAAACTACCTGTAGCTGACTGTCACCCTAAATGCAGATGTTATCCGCTTTGCCTTGGACTGCAACTTCAGAGAGCTGTCTCTTTGTCTGTTTGGGCTGGTGTTCCCCAGGGCTCAATGTTGGGACCCCAAGTGAAGTAGAATACTTGAATACCCTGGTATTCATGTATGTAGGCTGGTTGAATAGATGCAGAAAGTCAAAGAATAGGCAGAGAGATGGAAGTAGGGATATTGAGGGATAGATGAAAAGACATATGATAGGGGTGGGGGGGCTGCTCTTATATTCAGCCCTTTGCATGTGGTTACTGTGCAATTACTGTAGGTTTAGTGTGAGTACTGTATTACTGCACTATATGAAGGATATTTATTTATTGTGTCCGGAAGGAGCATTTTTATCCCTCTCTTATACTATATCAGGTATTAAAGAATCTAAAAGCATTCCAGCCTACGTATTGAACAGTATTTAAAGGACCAATGGCATGCCATTTTTTAAAGACATAACTGCTTGTGTATTTTATTTATATGTGTGGACTTTGATCACGTCAGGAAGTGTTACATTGATCTTCAGGGACAGCAAGAGCGGGAAGATGAACAGAAGCTAGCTAATTAGAATCAGGACAAAGGAAGCTAAAGTAAACCATACAAGGCTGCTGGTCAATAAGCAGCTAAGTCAACAGGTTGTTAAATTATTAATATATTAATTCAAATGTACTAGTTCAAGGATTGCCTTCTGTTAACTGAGACATGATCTTGACTTTTTAAAAATTGGTTTTTACTGTTGTATTTACTGTAGGTATTAAGCACAATGATTGGTCCATTCAAGTAGCAGTGTTAGCAAAAAGTACTGTAAGCAGTTTGTGGATGACGTAAACAAAGGGATCGTTTCAAGTCTGAAACACAGTTAACATTATTTTACTGAAAATTTTAATTTCTTGTACATACAAACTGTAACAATGTCACAGAAAAGAAAGATAGGATATGTCTGAGTAATGCTATAAATTAAATTGGATTATTTTTATGGAGATAATATAGTATATAAAATGTTTTGTATTCATGACTGTGCATTCGAAGAGACATTGTTTCTCTTTGCTGAGCATAACCTCACTGACAACTTGTTGTTTTCTGACTGTTAAAAAGGATCGACATGCATTTCATGAATCTCTCTTGACATGCTGCATTCATTAGGCCGATCACTTAGTCCTTTTTATTTATTTAAAAGCAGTCTGGTTCCAAATGAGCATGTTCCAATAGTCTCTACGCATCCCTCAGCACTAGCATGGCCACTGTAAATCTACATCCCCCTGCTGGCATATTAGACTCAGCGGATATGTGCATTGTTATCATTTCCCATATCAAATTTACTCCTAATCTGAGCTGTGTACAATGTATAAACTCAGAATGCAGCAGTAGTTACCACAATCTGGTTTAAAGCATGTCACCAGTTTCAATGAGCTAATGACTGCAGCATGTCGGTGTAGCCGGACAAACATATGTCACTGATTACACGTTTATTTACATTATTCTAATGTTTTTGTATATACTTTATTTGCAATTTTATGTTGCTTGAAAATAACTGTACAAAGGATCTTTGTGAAATCTTTCTAAAATATCATTGTAAATGCAATCTTAACAAGCTAGTAAATAAAATGTTCACAGTACAATGATGGTTTTCAATGAAGCAGAAGTGTTCGCAAGCGATGACCCGACAAGACCATGATGTCCGATATCAAAATGTTAACACACAGAGCGTCACAACATGTTCTGTTTATGTTGCCTTTGGTCAGCTGTGCTTTTCTGTAGATGTGTATGAATGACCCAAAAGGAGGAGATTATCACATCTTTGCCTGCACAGCACATCGGCAGGGTGTGACTAAGTGCTACTGGAAGTCAACAATTGAACCTGTGGCTGAAGTGTTTTCTTCTCTTAGTCCACTTGCTCATAATTTTGCTTTATGTCACAATACATGAGATCTTTGATCACCTCTTGCTGTCTAGCTAACCTAATGTGTATCATGGGGACACTGAATTCACTCATACTGTTATACATAATTTAATCGTGTATCTTCCACGTCAGTTTGATTCTAATTGATCTACATTGTCTTTCAGCGCTCAGCTAAGTGAGGACTGTCCATTTCTCTGTTTTATGTCTCACTGATACTGACAGATCAAATTTTGGCAAGCACTGTATGTGTCCTGTACTCATACAGAACCCTTAAGAACATAGCTTGACATAGTTTCAGGTGTCCATTACACTGACTGAAGAAAGCTGCACATATGAATATTGCATGATCATCTTTGCAGCTTCTCTCTGGGGCTGGACTTAAGTAGCTAGGATGAAAGGTTATCTGGGGATATATTTTTAGACAGACATTTCCTAAAACACAAGCCATGATCTTCTCCTGATCAATAACTCGTAATTGGTTTTGCTTCAGACTGACAAACCAGGCCAGATGTTGTTGCATTAGAAGCAGGCCGGTCACATGTTCACTTTAACTTAGTCATTTCTGAGCCATTATGCAGATTGTATCTGAATTGCTGATGGCCAACGCGATTAGACTGTGGAGTGAAAATCATGTGCATTTCCCTCCTTGCTGTGTGTGTCAAATGGCCGGAAGGGGCTAAGGTAAAAGCATACACTGTGCAGTTTCGCACGGTTATTGCAATTGGTTTTCTAGGGGGACCGACACCGACTGCATTCACCACCAGCACACACCCCTCAGCACCGGTGATGCATCCCCGCGGCAAGGGCACGGACAACTCCTCTGTAGAGTCGTCTCGACTTTAGAATGGTGAAGAAATCTCTCAACGGCGGGGTTTACCCAGCTCAAGCCGGAGAGAAGAAGCACAAAGTCGGCTTTGTCGGATTGGACCCGGGGGCTCCTGAATCCAGCAGGGATGGTGCGCTGCTCATTGCGGGTTCAGACAGCACCAAGCGGAGCAGCATCCTCTGCAGACCAAGGTCCAGCATCTCCGCCGGGAGACCCAGACCGTCGAAGAAAAATGCCAGCTATCGGAAACTACAGAATTTCCTCTATAATGCGCTGGAGAGACCGCGGGGATGGGCGTTCATCTACCACGCTTATGTGTAAGTGATGTTCAGCCAAGCATGTTGATTCTGTCACCGTGGCCTTTTTTTACACTCCCCTGTTACTGTGGCAGGGTTTTTTTTTTTGGAGGAGATGTGATGGAGTTTTTCGGGTTTTGTGTCTGGTTTTACATTGATGATGATGTTTAGTTGGCGCATTAAAGGGTTAAGCCTTGTCATGCTGCCAAGCTGCTACAGCCCGGTTATAGGAGGGGTATCACTTCACCTGCAGAACTCCTGCTTTAACTCTGCATGCCGCCTCTTGCAACTTCTGTCGTATTGGCATTTTGGCTCATTTTACACACTAGTGTGTAAAAATGTGAGCACATGTCGGAGACACACATGCCTGCAGTCTTGTGTGTCTCCGACATGTGCTCACATTTTTACACACTAGTGTTTTCCATTGATTGGAATTCTCATGTGTTGCGGCAGCAGCGGGTTTCAGCACCGCGGTCTGTGGACAGCTCCGCGCCGCGTCAGTACTTTCACTAATTAACGTTGCAGTCAGGCTCTGCACATACATACTGTGTGTGTGTGTGTGTGTGTGTGTGTGCACATGGAGTGTTCTGGATACTACAGCCACTAACAGTCTCTGAGCTTCTTGTAGTTAAGGTATTTGTGTGTCTGTGTGTGTGAGAGGTCTGGCTTGCATACAAAACATTGTCTGTGATCATGCATAATATAGGTGATGTGTGACCTTTGGTGAATGGTCAGCATTGAGACAAGCAGCCACCACTGACAACAATCCAGCGAGCTAAAACCATCCCTTAATTCTCACACATTAAAGGAGTACTGCAGTCATTTAGTGGTGCACTCCAATAAAGTTTGGGGTGCTAAGGAAGGGCAGAAAAAAAAGTGGTCAGAATCGGTGCAGCAGAGGCTGAGATATCCACACTTGGATCCTACATTTCCCATCATGCAGCCAGTAGTAACCCTCCCTGTCTCATAATCGCCCACATCTCTCAAAGTCTGTGTCTGAAATGCAGACTTCATGTTGTCAACAACAGTGCTGGACCTAAACATTTGGCGGCCTAGGCAAGTAACCCCCACCCCACCCCCCAAAAATCTATCTGTTATATTTATTTCAAATGAGAATGAATACAAATAAGAACAAGAGCTAATGGATGACGTCTTCCTTTATTCTCTTTTTTGGGTAATGTGCCCTGGATTGTTTTTGCCTTTTTACTTGCTCTTACATCATACCCATCAGTTGTCTAGCATGTCCTGACTGCAATGATCAAGGTGAACTGCACTCAAAACTTTCTGAATGAATGTTATGGGGGTTTTGTGGGGGGTGGGGGCCTAGCCTATTTAGACGGCTGCCAAATCGCCTAGAGGAAGATCCGCTACTGGTCGACCACTATTTCTATTTTCGCAGGCTTGATACAGCTCCTGCAGAGCTGCAGAAGACATTAATGTTCACACAAGCTGAGTCATACTCCCAATTACTAGTAAACTGACCTTTAAGTGTAAAATCTTCTAACACATGTACTTACAGCAGTTTTGTCCATGCTATTTAAATGAAAGCAAATGTCAGCTTTATTCTCCAAACGAAAAGGTGGGTAAACTTTCGCTGGTAGTTTGCCCTCCAGCCATGCCCGAGTCCTTCCGACTCAGTGATACCGCATGCTTGGTAGTGAGGGGTTGAAATGCTACAGCATTAAGGAATTCACTGTGCACAGCATATCGACTCCCCAGAGACGGCTGGATGCCCAGAAGTAAGCCTGTGCTTTAATGTGAAACCACACACTCACACAGCCTCTAGGTACTTCTGAAATATTAACTGAATACTATAACAGCTAGCTAAAACCCCTTCTTTACCATTTGTGTTGTTTTGTGTTGATGAACTCGCTCTAAAGAGCTAACTTCATGGCTGAATCTAGTGCAGGCAGCAGGGATGGTTTTTGTAGGATAATACAGCATTTGGAGCCAAATTACACCAAGCAGCCCAGTTAGAACAGGGTCAGCAGCATGTTTCCCAAAATCAGAATTCTCCAGAAAGCAAGTTAGTGTACAACTCCACCCTGATGTGAAGAAATCAGATTGGAGAAAGGGACAGAGTGCATGACTGTTGACCAACAGTTACAGCAGATTCATGCAGAGTTCATACTGTTTCCTCCACGACTCTGCCTCTGTTCCATTTCTCTCTTCTATACATTATTCATAGTCACCACACTTCATTTAGTCTCCCAACTATTTCTACTGCCAGCCAGCTGATTTATAAAACTATCATGTGCTGACTTCAGTCAAATCGTTCCCCTCCTCCTTCATTCTCCCACTTATCTCTGCTCCAAAAGACAGCGTTTGGCAAACAAAATGACGCCGCTGCCTTGAGCTGACAAAGAGCATTGCAGAATGTGCCCCTGCGCAGACAGCAACTATTTCTTTTTGACGGGTGAAATGTTAGGCAGGTGTTTTGTTCCTCGGTCTCGTTTGTAATGCATGTGTGAATGATCAATATGGGCAACATGAGTACCTATACCCAGAGTGCTCTCTGTCTCGCTGCCTCTCATCCCTCTCTTTCTCACTCTATCCATCTAGTTGTCTGAGACCGAGGCCACCCTTTCCTTTGTGTTCCATTGCTGGTCCAACATCAGTGAAAGGGGAGACACACGGTGGTCCACAGTCAAGGATAATCCTGTGGATCTCAATCTTTACTGCTTGTTCAATGCAGCATGGGGTGACTTGGTTTGAAAGGGAAAACTGTGTAATACCTTTCACAGCAAATGGTTCTTCCAGCACCCTGCTGTCAGAACAGTTGCAGCGTGTCAATGTTCTTGGTTCACACAAATTCTGTAAGGAGGGGCAATCTGACAGTTTGCAAAAAGGCTTTTAATTTGGCAGGGTCTCGTCTCTAGCTACAGCTCAGCATCCTGTTTGAATCTATCCAAGCGTTGGTATGTTCCTACACTGATACAGAGATCAGGGCTCAGATATCTTCACTGATTTGGCTTCAAAAGGAGCCTCATTACTGCGTGTCCTTCTGCAGGAAGCACCAGCTGTGTGAGAACATTGAAAAGCCTCTGCAGCTGTAAGATGACAAAATGTGTCAGTTTGGCACCAAAGTGGAAAAATAGGACGACGACTGCAAAAAGAGACGGCAGAGAGAGGGAGGTTGAACAAAGAGTTCAGAGAGCGATCGATCAGTGAAAACAAAATAAATGTTCCACTAAACTTTCTCAAAGTGATTTAGGGAGACAGATTGGGGACATGTTCCAGTTATTCATTATTCTGCTGAGCTGGCCAGCTGAAGACAAACTGGGGAAGAAATAAGCCAAGGACAGTAGCAGACAGATGGTAGCTGCCAAACCGCGGAGATGTGATGGAGTGGTCTGCTATAGGAGAAGAGGTGTCTGATGGAAAGTGGGAGTAGAAGACTATTTGAATGCTGAGTCCTGTTGTCGGGTTATGGCGAGGAATTGATTGTGTCACCACTGCTGTTTTGATGAAAAGCCCCAAAAGAGCTGTTATGATATTTCAATATTTAATAATGTTGTCCCTCGTGATGTTGACACGAGACTGCACTTTTAGGTTAACTGACATTACTGACTCACTTTGCTGACTCCTCTCTCTTTGTGTTACTGGTACACTATGTTTTAGCATTTCTCATCATCCTGTTGATGTCACTCATGGCTACAGCTGCTATTCTGCGGAAGTTGCTAGCTTGAAATGGGTTTTTCACTATATTATGAATTCAATGATAACGGTCATGGCAGGGCCAAATTACACAATGAAAGTGTTTTTACATACAAAAGAAGTCTTTTAAGCAACAGTATGCAACTTTTTAACTTTAAAATAACAGCTTCAACATCATTGTGATGGCACACTTACAATAGAAAGCTAGCTCAGCTGTTTGGCACTGCTTTTCTTTTTCTTTTCTCAGTTCTTCATGTGTACAGTATGTGCATAATTCAGAATTTTTCTTTTGATAGATTGAAGTAAAGATTAAAAAAAAAAGCTAGCTTGATATATTCAGTGTGGACGTCATGGCAGAGGCGACGATATGCAAGAGGGCGTTCATGGAAGAAAGAAAGAAGAGAAAAAGAGAGTGGCACGAGGCTGGACTAGAAACTAATGCAGGGTTGCAAACTGTTTATACTGTCCTGATCATAGACTGTATATAAAGATGGACAATGTGCCTCCCCTTATTCCCTCTGTACAACAATGAACTAAATACCAGACACCAAGATGGCACCTATTCATACAGTATATGGCGATGTTCACCTGGTGCATACACAGAAATGTTTTCTAGCTTCTGGGTTTACTTCCATAATATTTTGCCCAGTGACTATGTGCAGTAGTGTCTCTTCTGCTGACATCACAGATTTTTAAATCACTTTTTTGGCTTTAAGAAGTTTTACAGGTGTAAATCCACTATGGCTCAAAAATTCACAGTAGAAAGAGTCATAATTGACCTTGTTGGCACCTGAAGGTGTCCTGTCAACAGTTTTACAGATTTCTCTTTTATAATGGGGAAAATGATTTTGGGGCAGCAGGGGATATTTTCGCAGCAATACCGTGAGACAAGGGCTCACGGTAAGGCTAAGCTTCTTTCCATAGCGCCTGAAAAATTCCAGAAATGGCTGCTGGCATCTTGCACTGGTGACATCATTTGGAGCCAGTCTGAACAGTAGTGATCTTCACATTGTTGAGTTCCTGCCCATACACCTCTCCAACCAATCGTGAGCAGAGCCATTGATGGCGAGCACACCAGTCGTCTTGCACAGCTGCTAATTATGATGTCAAACACCCTTTTTATAGCATCAAAAATGAATTAAAACCAAACATATTAGAAAAACAAACACTTGAACAAACAGCAGTGTAAGAACTACCTAAAATGACAGAAACCATCTTTTAGTTTGGCCTATGTTGTATCTGCAAACATGGAGGGTGTGGGGTTTATGACCCTTTCACATGATCAAATAGAGACTTGACATTGGCTACCAACATACTGAGTAATATACCCATATATACCATTAATGCATATATGACAAAATACC